CCCTTCACTCTGATAAAGAAGACGGCACACCAATCAGTAGCTCGCTTCCTCCTCCATTCCCACCTTGCAACTTGAGAACAGCACTTAAACGATATGCATGTCTATTGAGTTCTCCTAAGAAGGTTGGTTGGATTCACATCTGATTTGTGATTATGATCAGTTTCGTTTGTCTTCAAAGAAATTCAAACTCAATTGTTCTCATGCTCGTTTTCTTGCAGTCCGCTTTACTAGCTTTGGCTGCTCATGCATCTGATCCAGCTGAAGCAGAGCGATTAAGACACCTTGCATCACCTGCTGGAAAGGTTTGTGTCTGAACTTTTTGTTGGCTTCTGCTCTTCATTTTACATTACCAAATTTTCTCTGACAAGCATATATTTTGAACCTTTCAACACCAGGATGAATATTCAAAGTGGGTAGTAGAGAGTCAAAGAAGTCTACTCGAGGTGATGGCCGAGTTTCCTTCAGCCAAGCCGCCACTTGGTGTCTTCTTCGCTGCAGTTGCTCCAAGGTTGCAGCCTAGGTTCTATTCGATATCATCATCTCCCAAGTGAGTACTTCTGATTGTCTTTGGTCCTTTGTCTTCAAGTAGCTCGCTTGAGACGTATCTGGTATTTCTAGTGTATTGACCATTGTCCTGTTTACTTGCATAGGATTGCTGAAACTAGAATCCATGTCACTTGTGCGCTGGTTTATGAGAAGATGCCAACCGGCAGGATTCATAAGGGAGTGTGTTCGACTTGGATGAAGGTAAATACCCTGTAAATCTGACAGCTTCTTACAAACATATCGCATTGCTAATTGTGACATTTCTTATCGAAACATGTGAACACTAGGATTAAATGTGGGTGTTTTTTTTTTGCGTTGTAATCACAGAGTGCTGTGCCTTATGAGAAGAATGAAAACTGTTGCTCAGCGCCGATATTTATTAGGCAATCCAACTTCAAGCTTCCTTCGGATTCTAAGGTACCAATCATCATGATCGGTCCAGGGACTGGGTTGGCTCCATTCAGAGGTTTCCTTCAAGAAAGACTCGCGTTGGTAGAATCTGGTGTTGAACTTGGACCATCAGTTTTGTTCTTTGGTTGCAGAAACCGTAGAATGGTAATAAAGCCATTTCTTAAAATCTCAAATCCCTCAATAACAATGGCCGATTTCTCAAGTAGTTTTCATATCTGTAGGATTTCATCTACGAGGAAGAGCTCCAGCGGTTTCTTGAGAGCGGTGCACTCTCAGAACTAAGTCTCGCCTTCTCTCGTGAAGGACCTACCAAAGAATATGTACAGCACAAGATGATGGACAAGGTATGTCTAAATCCTCTGCTTAAATCAATCAAAAGTCAGATCTTCAGATCGAGATTTTTGTGCTGACATTGGTTTGCGGATGCAGGCTTCTGATATCTGGAGCATGATCTCTGAAGGAGCCTATGTATATGTTTGTGGTGACGCCAAAGGCATGGCAAGAGACGTACACAGATCTCTCCACACAATAGCTCAAGAACAGGTTCGTACGGGTCTCAAAACCTTAGAGAGGCTAACTGTTTCTGATTTAAGATCAATCGTACATCACAAACAGACTCTGATGGGTTTACTTATTTTGTCTTTGTCTTGTTTTCAGGGACCAATGGATTCTACGAAAGCAGAGAGCTTTGTGAAGAATCTGCAAATGAGTGGGAGATATCTGAGAGATGTATGGTAACGACAGTATTGAAGCCCCCCCACACACTCACTGTGTACTTATATTTATATAAATATATACGGCACAGAAATGCCACAATCATGGAATGATCATTAAGTTTGTGATCGCAAGAGGAAAGGACCTCCCTTTTTTTTCCCCCATTCTTAAGTTAGTTTCTATATTTCTTTTCACATATTTGACGATTCTATTTTTTTAACTCTTGTTATATAGCCCCACTCGAAAGATAGAAAAAAAAAATGCATAAGATGTGATGGGGTGGTTGTGAAAAGAATTATGTTATACAAAGTCTGTACCTGTGGTATGAATATTTATGTAGCAGCAACATTTTGGGACATAATATTTGATATTTCTATCTTTTATAGTTACTTTTTATGTCTTCATAGTTACTTCAATTCATTGACTACTGCAGTTTTCTTCAGAACTTTCAAATTACTGCTGAAGCTTAAATTTAGTTTAACGTAAGCAGATTGAACTAGATTTTGCATTTACATACATGTGCACCATACATGTATGAACGTGGTGAAGAGCTATACCGGTCTTGGTATGGCATAACCGACTATAATGGACTGATTAAAGTTTGGTCTCAAATTTAGTCTATATTTCATTTATTGTTGCGTAGACTAAATGTTCCATTACTATAAGATCAATACTCGTGATTTTTTCTTATGACCACGAATTGGAAACTATCTAGGTATTTAATCATGACTTCTACTATAGCAGTAAGTGTTCATTTTTTTTTTTTTTTTTTTTTTACAATATATCACGCAATTTTGCGAGTTCATGTTATTTGTATTTGTGTATGTAATGTGAGTAAACGTGAATTTTATGTCTATGAGTAATTAACTATAAGTATAAGACAACGGTGTTTGTGTGTGTGGGGTAAGAAACAAATGAAACATGCTATTTTAACTTATAGATATATAATTTGAAAACAGCAAATCAGAGTTACATAATTCGTTATTTTTATGATATGTTCTTAAAATACATGCGCTACACTACACATGCATATAAGTTATAACACATTAAGATTTTGTTAGAGAGACTAGGTATCTTATATATAAAACTTGGCCAACTTTCTCCAGCTGCTTACCACATCAGCATTGGAGAAAGCGCCACCTGTCCATTTAAAATCTTAATGAAATAAACAATTAATTACATTTAAAGAAAAACATTTAATTAATCACATTTAAAGAAAAACATTAAAGCACATTAATAAATATTAATATATATATGAACAAAATTATTTAAATAAATAAAATTTAAATTTATTTTAAATATATCAAAACTTAAAAATATTATATAATACAGGATTTTTTAAATCCACCATTCTATTTCCTTTTTCCAAGTGATTTAAACTACATTTTCAAACTAAAAATATCATTAAATTTTAATGTAAGTGAAAAAAAAATTATGAGACTGAATAAATTAAAAAGTTTTAAATAATCCTATATAAAACTCTTACTAATAATATTATAAGACTAAATATTCAATAAACGATTATAAAATAAAAGTTATTTAAAAAGTAATAGTAAAAAAGAAGAGTAGATACATCAAACTGTCATACAAAGTTTTTTTTAAAAGAATTTAAAAATGGAATCAATAAAATATATATAACCAAAAAAACTCAAAATGGTAATTTTTTCTATGAGATATTACGTTTTTATACATAAATTAAAATAGTAGATCTTTAGTTTCTCATTACCGTAGGAGAAAAATCAGATTATTTGGCACAACTCATGTCGAAGAGATTACAAATAGTGTATCATCTAGAAGAAATAAAAAAAAATATAAATATTTTAAACAAAAAAATAATAGTAAAAATAATGATCCGCGCATATGCGCGGGTTCTCTCCTAGTTTTCTCCTAGTTTTTGTAAAAACATGCCACTTGAATATCTGCGTAAGTAAACTCACATTTTAAGTATTATTACCCATATAAATTGGCCAACACTTTTTTTCTTCTGGGGTTAAACACAAATTGAGCAACAGTGAAGGGGCAAAACAGGTGATATGTCGCGGTGCTTTGGATGTAAGAGTCAAATGATCAATAATGATAAGGGTTGATAAAGAGAAATAAAAAGCATTTTGTTAAAACCTTCTAGTTGGTTCGGAAGTGCTTTTTGGTGGTTGAGAATATTATTTTATTAATACGTTTACTGAAAAATGAAAAATGAGAGGAATGGACCGAATGATAGGAGGAGATATGGTGGGTAGGCACATCATATAGTTTTAGAATTGAATAGCACGTGAGTTACATTGATACATGCGAAATTAAGTAGGTGGAGATAAAACTTTCCAACAATAACAACAACATGTTTCTTTCCTCTTTCAACTACTTTTTTTTTCTTGTGTGTTTCTCTCCGCCTCATATATTAGTCTTCATTTTTATTTATTTTGGATAAAAAATTAGTCTAAAAGTGTTTTAGTGAACGAAAATTTGCCACGTATGAGTCGATCATCGGCGTTAATTGAAAATGGTACTGGTTCCATCTTCTTTGTTGATTTTATCACCCAACAATAATGATTCTTTTATTTTTTATGATTCTTTATTCGTCAATAACTCAATATTTTGTACTTGGTAATTCCTTTGACTTCTCCAAACTTTATTTAGTTCCAAGGAAAAAATTTCCAGCATAATTTGTCTCTTTTCTTAAAACTGATTTTATCATGTGATATATAATCCTGAGAAAGATACAAGAATAGATACAAAAGACCCATATATTTTTTCTTAAGAAGTATGTATTCCTTTTGAGAAAGAAAGATGCGTTTATTTCTTTAAGTGAAAATTCTAGGAATAGTACCATAATTTATTACTCGTTGACAAAAGGAAATAAAAATTCCTGATAAAGCTGATGTCACATGAATGAAAATCAAGTGGACATGGTAGGTGATGCATATGTAAATGATGTCACATTATTGTATAATTGATTTCAGTATGTCACAGGTTTTGTCAACGTCCCGGCCGAACAAAATAAACTTAAAAAGGACATTGACTTTGCCAAAATTAAATGTGAACCGTGGTTATTCAACGAGCTGTAATTTTTCAGTCTAGTCAAAATAAAACAAGACCGAATTCAGACTATTCAGACTATTTTTTATCCGACCTTTTTCAAATAATCAATAGACTAGAAAATTGAATTGAATGTCACTGTAGAACTACGTGGGTTTATTGTTATGCTCCAAAATGGGACATTTTATTTCTCTGAATGTGGCCAAGGGATTACCCACTTGACATATAACGACTTAGTTTTGGGCCGTTGGGAGGCCTGATAAGATGATCAAAAATTGTCAAGTATTCTATTGTAATTACACAAAACCAGCAAGAAGTTTGGTCTTTCATTTCGCTAAACAGCTTGTGACTTTCAGTTTTAAACGTATCAACATCTCAAAAGATTCAAGAACAGCATACTGAAATCTCACAAATTGTATTAAAATGCTGATAGAATACAATGAAGGTTCAAACAGACTGGTGATATCTAAGTCCTCAAGCACAGGCTAGTCTTGATCAGCGTCTTCGAGTTCTTCATCTTCTGGCACACCTCGCACGTACAAAACGTTGTTGCATCTGTGTGCACCAAGTCGGTAAATTAAGCAAAGAGATCCAAAAGTTTCAAAACCAATTTACAAGCGTGACTGTCAGTTACTGAATCCAGAACTAGCAGACATTATGAACACCGATATTGAGTTTTATCAACTAAGTTTCAGACCAATGATTACAAGCGTGAATGGTGGAAACATAAACTGAATTTAGGAAAGAACAAAAACAAAATTGCAAGGGATATAGAATGAGATTAGACTTTACCTGATTAAGATCTCACCAAGGTTTCCCGTCAATTGGCCGTCAATGTATTCCTCGGTGTTTCCCAGCTGCAAAGCAATATGGAAAATCTCAATGGTTACAATGAAAAGTGATCCAAAGTATATTGATTTCTATCACTTAACAGGTTTGAGCTTTTAAGCAGGTGGTTTTTGAAAACATAACATCAATATAATGTAACTTTAGCGTTCTCGAATTGAACATAGAAGCTAAGACCGTACCTGTAAGTTCATGTAGGAGTCAACAGAGGCAAGGTAACCTGTGAAATAGACAGATTCAGGGAACACTATAAGATACGAGCTCTCAATATCATAAAGCTGTATAATTTCACCACATCACAAAAACAAAAAGAGAGAGGAGATAGTACCTTTGTATTCCATTCCCCATTTGAGCTTAACAATAACTGTCTTTCCGGTCAAGTTGTTCAAGAATGGTTTCGGGTTTACTGGTATCGTCTGCACAAAGTTTCATCAAATACAAAAGATGTATAATCAAACATTACTCGAAAGCTAGTTATCAGATGAACGAAATTATCAAGATGAACACACATTCTTCTCATCCAACCTCAACAGGAATGCGAAATAACTGAACTAAATTCTACAGTATTGGATCAATTACACCATTAGAAAAAAACGCCTAAATACTCCGAAATCGTATCCACTAAAACCACACCAAACAATCCTGATTCCCAGATACTCCAATAATTACTACTTGTAATCAGCTAAACAGAGAAGAAAGAGCAGAGAAATCGAAGAAATCGGAGCTGGAGGAGCTCAGAAACACCAAATTTCACAGCTTTTTGCAATCCCTTATAGTACTTAACAGCTACAATTCTAATCTTGATTTCCACGAAGAAGAAAAACAAGGAATCGGAGCTCAAATTAGCGAACAGTCTACGGAAGATGAAGAGAGATCGAAACTTACAGCCATTACTTAGCGAAAGAAGAGACGAGTCGAAGATTGGGAGAAAACAAACAACTCCTTATTGTGCTTTCTGCTTCGTAGCTCCGATCTCGTTTAGGGTTTTTGGTGAGAGGTTTTCAGATTCGTGCTATTACGTGAACTCAGCAAAACTGTGCGCCTCATAATATTTCTTAAAAAGGCCCACTATTAGACTTTTATGGCCCATTAACAACCCAGTATGTGAATCATAAACAGCATGTATATATTTATGTGTCCAGTCCAAACAACTTGGATTAGTTTGGTTTTAGTCGCATAAATATACAAATTGGGGTTGGGAAGCAATTAGTTTGAAAAAAGTCAGATAATTGCATTGACTTTGCTCCTTACATTATAGCAAAATTTTGTCGACTTTGCCTAAACAAAATATTAGCCGGCTTTCTCTTTGACCATCCAACTAATAGTTTAGATTATTTACATTCCATTCGAATTGTAAAATCATTATTAATCCAAACTTAAATGATTAACACGAGTTATTCACGTATGACGTATATGACAACAATTGAGCGAACCACTCATCAAATTTCTTTTTCTTTTTAATTAAAATGGATCCATTATCCATTTATTGCAAAATATTTGTGTTAATTCGGAGGTCATTTCATAAAGAAATACACAAAAATTCGGAGGTCATTTCATAAAGAAATACACAACAATTATCTTTTGCTATAATAATTAAAATCGGTATAAATTCAGCATGCTGATAAAAATGGTCGTCCACATCATTTTTTTTTCTTTTTTTGGTTTGAACAAAGAAACTTTAAGTGAACTCCTTTGTGAATCATTTTACTTTTTTTGCGTTTAAAGATAATAGTAACATCGCACCATATGAAATTGTTATAAAAAAGGAAAACAAATAAAACTTTGTGGTCAAGCAATGTCGATATGAGTAACCTTATTATGACTTGTGCCTTGCAGCGTAAGTTGATGTAAGTTGAAAACGAAAGATAAAAGTGGAGTTTGTGGCTCTAATTGCTTTCCTTTATTTATGTTCTTTAACAAATGATTTCCTTTCATTACTCTTCCACCTCTTCGATTTTGTATTCTCTTTCTTTCTTTTTTTTTAACCCAAACGAGATCAGGATAGCTTTTTAATCACTGAGCTAACTTGGTAGTTACATTTCTACGAGATGTTTGTAATAACCAGAAAAATGTATTTAGTGTTAGCTGACAAAAGTTTGCCATCATTAAATTTTCTCGCGAACCTCAGTTACTCGCAGATCATTACCTCGGGACTTATGTTTATTTTATTTTGTCACAATGTCTTTATAGTCTTCTTCTTAATTAATCTCGACTATCTTTTCACAAACGATGTTTTTCATATAGTTTCTTGTGTAAACATTCTTCCTCTGTCTTTTCTACAGTACTCCTATTTAAAACATATATTTAGTGAGAACTGATCATCATTTTTATTCTGTACGTTTAGTTAATTATTTTATATAGAAAAGAAGTGTTGACATTTCGATATATAGATGATTTACATGAATAACACATGCCTTTATGATAAATTAATGGAATGGTATGTTATATTCTAAGTCGCCGTTTCTTGTTTGTGCATATCTTTTATACAATTGTTTTTCAAAAAAAATATATGTGACTACACTTATTTAAACCCATATGTGCTAGATATAGTTGATGATATATAAGAGTATAAGCTACATAATTGATCCAGAACTTATAACAAAGGTAGTTGTCAAGTATCAAGTAGTTTTTTTCCTAATTTTTATAATTTAATTGGTCGTACATACGCTAAAAGTTTGTGGATGAAATAAACTCTTAAAGTGCAGGAATAAAGAGAAAAACGATTGAAGCAAATATTTTTATATAAAATCCTTAAAATAGAAGTATTTTTCTTCTAGAATATACTATTTTGTAGCAATACAAACTGATTTTAAGTCATCTTGAACAACAACATATATGTGTAAGTATACATGATCGTTGTAGAATCACAAATACTTCATTTAGATAATTTCAACTTAGTAAACTAGTTGCCCAATAAAATGCATTAGAAAAGTATAAAGTCTTTTCAACTAGAGTTTCATTCACGGTTTCTTCGAAATTTTTATTCGGTTGGACAAAACATTGATAAATGTTTTTGACTAAATCTATCACTATCATTCTAGACCTTGCTTTTAAAATCACTCAGTTTTCTAAGATGAAAATAAAACATAATTCAATAAAATTCAGGAATGATATTTAGAGACTAGAGTCGCTAATCTTATATGATATGAATACTGTTTGGTTAATGTATAAGTCAAGTTGTTGACAAATAACAAACTTTTTTACAAGTTATTTGTTTCTGAAAATATATTATTTGAATATTGAATATACGTTTGGGATGATATATATACACACGATGGTATTAGTATATTACACGATGATATACATACATAAGATGATTTTTGATATAAAAGGGATGAATGGAAAATAAGTTTCGTGTTACAAATGGATGCTTTGGATCAATGATGATGTTAATGTATACAAATGGATGCTTTGGATCAATGATTATGTTGATCATAACTTGCAACTTTGAATTTAGAATGGGACTAGGATAAACATAAATGTTGTCATGTACATTTTCCTTATTAAAACAACTAAAAAACAGTAGTAGTTAGTTTATTTGATTTAAAATCGTAATGGCATATTTAGCCAATAAAGAAAAAAACAAAAAACAGAGGTTAGTGTTTCCTTATTTATCAAATAAAGTATAGAAGGTATAGCAATTAGTCGAGAAAAACAATTCATAGGTGTATCAAATCAAATAGTAAATTGCCATATGACAAATCATGAAAATATGGGCGATCCCACGAATTAGGCGAGTCAAAAATCTACAAATATATGTATTAAAAATACCTAAAGAATAAATCCTTTCCACTTAAAAGTTCTTGTAAAAATATTTGACCACCCTCTAGGAGGCCATGTATATATATAAGTGGTGACAAAAAATTGATACTTTCAATATCTTCATTCCATCTTTCTCTAGCTCTCCCTTAAGATAACATGGAAACTTCACAAAACAGCAATCTCCAAAACCCTAAACCCACAAAGCCATTGCATCATCTCCAAGAAGAGGAAGAAGAAGAAAAAGAAGAAGCACTCTCTCTCCGAGATCTTCCCCTCGACACTGAGGAAAACGATTCCACCGCCACCTCAACCACCACCGAAGACCACCGTGAACCTTCGACGGATCTTTTTGAGTTCCTCACCTCAACCTCCTACGAGGTTTCTCCGGCAGAAAACATAATCTTTTGCGGCAAAATCATCCCTTTAAACTACCAAAATGCCCTCTTTTCTCCTCCCGAACACATCAGCCCTAGAATTCGCGCAAGATCCGAGTCCTTATCTGCCATACAAGGCAACAAGCTTAACCATCCCGTGGCACGTGACAATGCCGGACTCATGAGGACAAGCCGTTCTTTAGATTATCGAAAGCTCAATCGTGGTCCAACCACCGTACATTCTCCGCCGGAGAATACTTCTCCGGCAAAAAGTACGGCGAAGCCTGAAACGGTATCGTCTGGAAGTGTAAAAAGTGTAAGACCGAAATGGTACGTGATCATGTTTGGAATGGTTAAGTTTCCACCGGAGATCGAACTAAAGGATATAAAAAGCCGTCAGATTCGCCGGAATATTCCACCGGTTATGTTTCCGTCTCCTGCTGACCGGAGATCTCGATCACCGTCATCGTCTCCTTCTTGGAGGTTTCTCAGTGCCTTAAGTTGCAAGGAGCCCACAAGCGTCGCTGCAACGGCACCAGCTTGGGTGCCTCATGCGTAAATTTACTATATTGTCCCTAAAAAGCAAGTAACATTGTGCGTGGTTGTTTGCTTTGTTGTTGACTGAGAAGGATAGACTCGTCAATCTATTATAAATATCGGCACTGTAATTTATTTTGTGAAAGAATGTCGATATTGTAATTTATTTGGTGAAACAATATCGATAATCGTTTGGACCATAACCTTTTTGGCTTTTCCTTAATGTTATATGGTTTTGTTTTGGTATTGCAGCTCGTTTGTTTATATACAAAAAACTATATTTGTAAAAGAAAACGTTTATTTTTATGTTATCCTTTATTGTTTTAAAAATTCAATTTGTTAGGTGGTTGGAGGAATGAATGATGATCAGAAGAGGCACGAGAAGGACATGAAAAAATATTTATTACCTTACTTTCCCTCCGGGACTAGTCGATTTTTTTGTGATTTTGACAGGAAATCATATATAATTTTAGCATTTATTTGTGCTTCGAAATCCATGGTCTATAAATGGTATGATAAATCGATAATACACATTCCATCTTATAGATTGTGACGTTCACCTTTCTTTTTGTCCAGAGACTTCTAGAATTAAATATTTTTATAAGGCTTTTTTTGTTCTTAACAAATCATTCTCACCATATTCATGTGTCTTTATGATCCAACTTAATATTTTTGTTAGTTATTTTGAATTTGGTTACGAGCCTACGGTATCAGAGATCTTAATAATGTTATATCATAAATTCTATGTCGTACAATTTTTGTATATTAAAATTTTTGCTAGAGTTAATTTCTTTCAGCTTTTTGTTCGAAAAGCAGGCATTTCCAATTTTTATCATAACTGGTAAAAAATTTTGCTAGAGTAATTTTTGCTAGAATTAATTTCTGTCAGCATTTTGTTCGAATATCTCTTGTTTTTTTTGGGAAAAGAACATATAATATTTCTTACAACATAGTTTATTAATAAAAGTACATATGACAAAGAATCTCCACAACGTAAACCATCCGTAATAACACATTTTTTCACAAATTGGCCCCTAACAACTTTTTAAATTTGCCGGCTCCGAAGAGAAGCCCAGGCCCGGCTCTGCGTAGAGCATCTAAGGTGTGTGACCAACACGCAAGAATCTGTAACAAAAACCCTACAAGATGCACAAGACGGACGTAACGTTTAAAGACTGTTATAGAAAACTTGGAGTTACTTAGATTTTCAGAATATTATTCACCTGCCAATTTTTCTTTAGAGTTTTCCCAAAACAAGATTACTAAACTCCAAAGAGCACTGCAAGGGAAGAAGCAAAGAAGGAAAACTTTACTGTCAAAGAGACTGCAATGGAACAATGGTGTGGCCGTAAGTCATGATAACTGAGAGAAAGATGAACTCACATAGAAATAACAAGACTAGCGTTAAGGAAAGAACGAGCTGAATCGGACGGCTAAATGGAATGCGAAACCGTCTTTGATAATATCTGACTCTGTCAAAGAGCTGCAAAAAATGGTAAACAACTAAGACCTCTAATCCAATATCATCGTGTAGAGAGATGGTTTCAACTGCGGAAGCTTACTTGGTTACAATCACGACATCTCTGCAGCGAAAACAGAGGCTTAGATCCTTTTTCTTTAGGAGTGGCTTCGACTTGTAATGACATTAATCTCTTCCTCTCCTCTTCGTCCGCATCAACAGGTACATTAATCCTCAAAGCACTGATATTTGGTACATTAGGTGAACTCCATGTTCTTCTGGTTCCAGCCTTCTTCTCTGCCTGCACGTTGATTATGGCATTACCATTTTCCGGACTTCCTCTCTCTACAATGTCTATCACACATTCAGGACTGTCTCCGTAACATCTAGCCTCTCTTTTACTGTTGATCCCAAGTGGATTTTCTGCTGGGGAACTTGTTGAGGAATCTCTCAAGTTGATGCTGTCACTGTTTAAACTCTCAGAGGTTTGAGAAGATCCAGATAGAAACATGGCAAGGTCATCACGCTCTTCTTTGTTGAGATCCACCCAACGCAAAGGTTGTTTCCCATTCTCGCTTAAAGCCTCTTGCAGAGAAGACTGTACTCGATGTATCTGGTCTTCAATAGCGGCGACAAACTGTTTATGTCTGGTCAATGTAGTGTCGTCTCGAAAATGTCCATGGCTTAACCTCACTGCCCTCTCAAACTCTTCTAGCTGATTCAAGTTACAACAAAACACCAAAATCACTAAACTTGAAAAAGAATTTTCATAACTCGTGAGGAACAATGGAAAAAACCAGGGAATGATCAAAAGACATGTGCTTGTGTCGGATATACAAAGAAAGTGGTGAGATTTAGTCTCACCTGCCATTTTGCTGTGCTCAAAGCTGCTTGGAGTTCTTTGCAGAGCTCGTCTGAATCTACGGTTTCTCGACCTTCTCTCTTCTCTTTAATCCACAATCTATATGCAGATTCCATTCTGCGAGATACAACAAAAGAAAAACACAGACAATTGTAAGAATTACTCCATAACTCAAAAAGGTTTCAAATTTCATAAACTCAATTCCTTCACCTATTGCCCAGGATATTGAAAAGCTGAAATGTATGAAATACAAAACTTAGATCACGTCAAGAGCCAACCAATCCCAAAAAAGAAAAAGGAATCACTAGTCTAAAAAAGCCTATTTCTCAATCAAATTCCGATTTCAACATCACAAGCTAACACAAAACCATAATTAATGAATCGACGTGAAAACAAAAGAAAACAAAACAGAGCAAAAACAGAGAATCGAAACATACATATCGGCAGATTCTTGAACCTCCTCGGCTGCTGAGAAAAAAACATCCTTTTGCCATAGATCGAAGCTGTTAGCTACCATCATCTTCGAAACCACAAAAAAAAACCTCAATTAAGATTCTACAAAAGGGACTACGACCAAACCAATCGATACAAATCCACCCGAAAGGTTCGTCGGAATAGATTCTCTGTTTAGTCCCAAACAGATTCTGCTCCCTTCTCTTCTCTTCTCTTCTCTTCTCTTTTTCTTCCGCAGGAAAGAAGGAATTTTTCTTTTTTCCCAGCTTTCCGTTTTTTATATGATTTTCTTTTCGCTTCTTCACTTCAATTAAAAATAAAAAAGGGCCTGCACTAAATCGATAAAAGATTTGTTTTTATTGGAGGGAAACGTAAGATAATATGGTCTTAGCCGCAGGAGATTGCAGCTCAGCGTTAGGAACCAAGAAAACATCAGAATGTCCAATGGTGTTGGCCCCACCCATTTGCCGCAACTAGCCCCAACATCGATTGTTTGCCAACGCAAATGGAATTATTAATATTTTTTTAATTTAGTTATTTAGAAGAGTCCAAATGCTAATGAGTAATGACTCATTTAGTCATTTTGAGATTTCACAAATAAATAAACTCAACGGTGGTTTAACTGATTACATAATGAAGACAACTGTAGCATACATTAGGGTGGCATGTGTATCGCATGGGATATCAGATTTTCAACTATATTAACACAATATTCAGAAATAAAAATTTGAATCACGTTATTATATATCTTGTAATATGATTTTAATACGTTCAGAAGATGGAGTCCTAATCTAACCCTCTCCGAACAACCACAACCTTTATGATATGGTTGTTGCAGCCTAGTCAACCACTCAAACGATAATATTTACCAAGGCCGGTTCTTGCTCTAAATTAAACATTAACCGGTGGTCCATTGAGGTAATTGAGATTCGCATATTCGTGATATCCTCTGTGAATATATTCTTTGAAACGGTTCTTCTGTTTGATGTGTCCAGTTTATCAAGAAAATTTAGATCGTGTTCTTAGAAGGTTTTTATAATTTTTTCTATTGGTTTCTGCTTCCAGTCCAATTGTTACTCAAGATTGTAACAAGGCAAGTAAAGAATGAACAAGATTGTTAAATTAAGTATGTCCCTACTTTTGTGGACTATTACATATGTTTTTGTTAAGTTTTGTGCTAGCTAGATAGTAGAGTAAAAAAACAATTCAAGGATGATATTATTGTCAACAACGAGTTGACTCCAGATGCTAATGGGTAATGCTTTTGTTCATCATAAGCATTGACATTGTATTAGTTAAAATATCTTGTTTGGAAATTTGATATGGCAATACATTTGTGGTATTAGTTTGTAAATTTTCTTTCTTGTAGATTACTATTTTAACTCTATGCTTGTGTATTCGTGATCAAGAAGATGTAGATTAACATATTTTTCACTGTTTGAATGGCTTCATCATCTATCAGAACTAGCGTTTTACTCCAAGTGCCAAAGAAATCCGGGGATGAAAAAAACTAGATTAAACACATAAGATGGGTTTTCTGTTTTGTGTAGAGACAATTAAAAAAAAAATCAGAGTGTTTGATGTGAGAGTCACACATGTCTTACCGCCTTATGTTTGTAGCCTACACTTACAACATCAATCCATTCTATTTCTTTCAACTTTCAAGTGTACACATACATATATCACCATATCACTTCTCGCTTGAAGTTAAGTATTTGATGTGAGAGTCACGTCTGTCTTACTCCAAGAGCCAAATTGGTTTGAGTCTATCCGACATGAAATTTTGATAAAACATGTACAACAAGTGGCAGATCTTTGCAGCATCCATGGGTATAAAACTCTATTTGGTTTGGAGGTTCACTAGATAAAGGTTTTGACTTGAGTATCACCAAAATGGATAGACCTTATAATATAATTGACTGAACAAAACGGATCATTATAATCAAACCTTATAATTTAAAAACACATGAACCATTAGAAGATGATGATCCTACCGTGACAACTACTACTAGTCTACTACTACTGTCTCTTCTCCTTCTCTTCTTCTTCTTCATCTTCTTCTTCTTCTTGAAACCCAAAAACCTCTCTGTTTCTGTTGGGACTATCCAAAGCTCTCTTCTCTTGTTCTTCCTCTGCTTCTTCTCCTCCTCCCTCCTCTTTCTTCTTCTTCTCTCCACCACTCTTCCTTCTCTTAACAACTCTCTCCTTCAACACACCCACAAGCTCCCTCACCGCCTTCTCCGCATCGCTCCGGTTCCTAATCAACACCTCACTAACATCAGCCGGCGTAATCTCCGCCTCCTCCACACATTCCTCCATCTCCTTCAAAACGACACCGTCGATTTCATCTTCCTCCACCCTCAGATAGTTCTTCAACAGGATCTTCATCGCCGGAAATCTACAAAAACCCATGTGAATATGCATGTCCATCCTCCCACTCCTCAACAGAGCCGAATCTAACTTCTCTACATGATTCGTCGTGAACACAAAGATCCTCTCGCTTCCACAACAAGACCAAAGCCCGTCTGTGAAATTCAACAGCCCCGAGAGTGTCACCGAGCTTCCCGGTTCGTCCATCGACGGTATCGAACCCGACCCGTTTGTTAAATCCGGGTCAAAACTACTCCCATTCCTCTTCTTAATCTTTCCCCTGTTCGTCAAATTGATCGAGCAATCAATGTCTTCGATAACAATTATAGATTTCGAGCTAGTCTTCATCAACAACTTCCTCAATTCGGAGTTGTTTTGAACCTCAGTGAGCTCTAGATCGTAGATATCGTAACCTAGATGATTCGCCATTGCAGCGATCAAGCTCGACTTCCCAGTTCCGGGAGGTCCGTACAGCAAGTATCCTCTTTTCCAAGCCCTTCCCGTCTTCTGATAAAACCCTTGTCCGTTCGCGAACTCTCTCAGATCCTCCATGATCCTTTTCTTCTTCTCCGGATCCATAGCCAGAGTCTCGAACGTGCTCGGATGCTTGAATCTCACCGAATCCCAAGGATGGCTCCTGGAATCGAGCGAGACGCCTCTCGAGTTCGTGTAGAGGAGCCTCTCCTCGTTTCTCCGGCGAATCTCCTCTGATTTTCCGACGATGTAATCGAGGTAAGAATCGAGGACAAGGGTTTTGTCTCTCTTGTTGATCTGTAGCGTAAAGCCTCGTTTCTCCTCCGGCATTGGTCTCCACGAAAAGCTCTGGACTTGACGCTGAACGACGACGTGTTCCCAGAGGACGGTGACGCCGTTAAAGACGTCGGTGATTCTGTCGTTGTTGGAGAGGCCGAATGTGACGGAGCTTGAGTTAGGGACACGTGTCAGGCTGAGACGGGTGTTGTTGTTGCTGGAAACGGCGCCGTTTACGGTGACGGAAGAGCTGAGGTAGAGCTGGACGGCGTTGTAGAGCTCGTTGGTGTTGACGCCGTCAATCTCCGTTATGTCGAAGTAGATGTGGGAAGAGAACACGTGGCGGATGCGTGTCAAGAGGTGGATGACGGCGAGGCGGAGCTCCGGCGGAAACACGAGCTGGAAGATTGTTTGACAAAAGGCTAACATGCCAACTAGAGAAGCCATTGTCGTCCAATAATCACTCATTTTCATTTCTTCTCTCTGTTTTTGAGAAGAAAAAGGTTGGATTTTTAAAAGTAGGGTAGAGAAAAGTTTTGATCTTTAGGGTGAAATAGATAATTTGAGAAGTGGGTGTAACTTAATTCTGCAGATAAGAGTGTGAACTTTTTTCGAAGTTCTTGAGATTTGGGAGGGAAAATATTTGGTTTGAGGCTTTTGAGAGAAGAGAATGAGAGACGTTGGTGGGTTTTATTGAAATAGGAGAGGGAGGGTTCACTTCAATTTATAGACAGTGGGAAAAAGTAAAGTTTTTTTCATATTTGCGGATATACTACAATTTAGTTTTGTTGTATGGTGCAAATTATATAAGCGACTTTTTTTCTCAATTATTTAACATAGGTCTATGGTTTCTAGACTCACAAAATCAATTACATCAGAGAGGTAATGGTTATGTGACATGTAAATCTCACATCGGATGCTATTCGGCTTTTGTTTTTGTCCAACAATATGATGAAATATAAGATGATGTAAATCTTTTTAAAAATTATTGAGCAAAAGATTGAAAGGTGAAAGGTGAAGAATGAGAAAGAGAGAATATAGAGGACAGTCCTGGAGAAATGGATAAGTTTTTACTCTTACACTAAATGAATCGGACAAACAAGTACAATGAAAAAATACACCACAAAGGACAAGAAACAGCTAGAAATTCAAAATACTAAAAGAAGGTCAGTTTCTATGAGACAGCCAATAATTTACGATTTAGCTGGATTGGTTCAATGTAGTAAAGAGGTATTGTTTCATTGATTTCTAGTGTTTAAAGTGGTTCTAAAACTGGTTTGTCTGCATGTGATTTCTCTTAATCACTACAGAAAACTTGTGATTACTAAAGATTAAATTATAGGCGACTATATGGTTTGTTAAAAGCGAAAGGGAACATGATGGTCTAGTTTAGGGTTTGTGAGTGTGACTTACAATTGGGTTTGTGTTGTTTGGTTGGGATATTGTGATTTTATTCTTTAGGACACTCAAATTTACGTGGGGCATCATTGTTTGTCTACATTTGCATATCAACATCTATCACCATAATACTCAAAACTCTTTCAACTTTCTTTCACATCTCCATCTAATTCCACCATTAGTAAACCTCATCACAATCCCAAATTAGTTAAAAACACTATCTGTTGAACTCCGAGATCAATGGGTATAGCTCAAATTGTAATAAAATAACATATATACATGTGTAACTTGATAGAGCTTAGGTACGTAGGTTCAGTTTAGGTTGTCTCTGTAATGATTGTAGCATTTTGCCAAGATAAAACTTATTCTAAAGTAAGCTGATCGACTTAATTTCAATCTAACTAGTCTCCGTTATGTATACTAAGTTTAAAGGAAATTATATGCTGTGAACCGTATTATGATAAAGGAAACAAATTGTCGATGTTTTATTTGGCCGACAGAATAAAAATATTATTATGTTTTTCAAATGTTTTAAATAGGGGAAATATGTAAAGGAGATGACATAGAATGACAATGACAGTAGATAAGGCCCAAGTTACTAGGGTCACTTTTGCAGTACTGTGGAATCTCCCAACTCCAAAGCCTTTATTTAATTATTTGTCTAAAAAAGTTTTCGAAGTTACTTTGAAATGTGTAGATCCAAACTTAGTAATGCTTTGTCGAATTTAACTCATAGTCTGTATTACGTAAATATTCATATCTCTATGCCAGATATAGGGGTAGTTTAATAAGAAGTGCAAGACGTTACACGAGTGACAAATTTTTCCAGTCGTGGATTTGTACCAAGAATGTGTTTCATTTTATTGTCAATATATAATACTCCTAATCTCCTATTATATCAAACATACGTAAGGATATCTTCACTCATTTTTTTCCGTTTTTGTCAATATCAAAACACTGGTTCTTAAGTTCAAAAATGAAAATTTGAAAATTATGTATCTAGAAAAGCATTGGTTGATATTGTGGGGGAAAATTTGGAGCAAAGATTCTGTACAGAGATCCGTTGGTGGTTCTGGTTTTGGAGTTTAGTATCCTCTGGTTCCGAGCTAAGCCCAAAAGAGCCAACAATTATTAAACATTATTAAATGTCAAAAGCTGTAAGGCTATATTATTGTGTAATGTTACAAATGCCTCTCAAGTACAATTGGCATTTTATATTACGGTTTGCTATGATGGTACCTTCTGAAACTGACTCTCTTTGGCATTTTCTATTTCAATTTTCAGAAATGAAAAAATTATTCACTTTACTATTAAGCTTATCTATTATCTTTCTTTTTTCTGCTTTATTCAAAGTTGATGAAAATGATGATCTCGACGTTGAGGTAATTTTCATTTGGATAGTACGAGTAAATGATTTATTACAATTGGTGTGTTTGAGAGAATTGTCACGATTCACCTGAAGAGGTAAAATACTGATAAAAAGAGTAAGAAAAAGAGATGACGTATAATACAAGCAAACTCTGTTTTCTTATATTATCACTTCGAGAGCCACACCCCACTCTGGCGTATGTAGGTCTGGGCACGGAACGAGTACTTGCCATTTTTGGTATACTTGATACTTAATTTGCCTCGTTCAAGTATCAAGATATTTGTACTTGTACTTGATTTGTTAATATCAAGTACTTGCAATTTCAAGTACTTGCCAAATTTTTTGTTACTTGCAAGTTACTTGGTTTGTCCTGTTATTTGTAAAAGTACAAATAAAATACTAAAAAAACTAAAATTTCGGGCCATATTTAATTAAAACCTATGATAATATTTAATATTTTGACCTTTAGGTTTTTGGAAAGCTTTAGATATTGAAGTCTTATTTATCTTTTGATAAGCAGACTTTTCTTTCCTTTTTTATGTTGTAATCGATGTGGAACAAAATTTAAAAAAAAATCAGAGATTTGAAACGAGTAACGGATCAATAAGACCAAATAGTAACTTTTTTTTAATATTTAATACTTGCCTTATATTTGCAAGTAATCTTCTTAAGATACTTAATACTCGACTTGATCAAAATAAGTACTTGGTTTTATACGGGTCAAATAATGAGTACGGGACGAGTACCAAGTAATTGTGCCCAGCCCTAGGCGTATGCGTTCCCCAAAGTTACTTAATTACTACTACCAAACAAAATATAGCAACCTCAAAAGACAAAAGTTAAAAATATTAATAGTTATAATAACTGAGAGTTGTGTGACAGAAGCTATAATGTCTATAATTAAATGCAACAAAAGAGAGGTAGATTTCATGTAGATTTGTAATTCGTTACTTTGTCTAAGTCTGGTGGATTTTTTTTTTTTTGTATCACTGTGGTTTTACCTAAATTTTCGTTAACTTAAGATTAAAAAAAAAAATCATATTTTTATCTGGCCATATTGTCTTGCATTCTTGCTCTTACTCTGAAGAATTAACTCTTGACAAAATCCATAGATTAGCTCTGTAAACACCCAAATTCGAATCTCTTTTTGTGCTTTTATTACAGGTTTAATCGTTTGACCTTAATATCGGATATTGTTAGATGAAAACGTGACTAATATTATATTTTATGACCAAATGGAAGCAACGAACTATAACAACAAATACAATAATGTACGGGTTAGACTTTGAGTTGCACCCTAATTGTAAATGCTTATTGTGTATTTTTTTCCCCACACAGATTAGTTGAATTGGTGAACAAAATATGCGATTTTGTTCCACCGTGCAGTCCCGAAATGTTCGACCGATTGTCGGATTCTCAATCAAAAGCTACGATCATAAAGCTCTTATAGTATTATATCTACGTTCCCAAAAAAAGAACCTTAAGTTTCATACACAGCAAAAAAAAAGATATAAAGTAAAGTCGACCAGAGTTTTAACAAAAAGTGTTAAAGAACATATTATACATATGATCTCATTAGAACTCAGATAATTTCGCGGTGGAGTATTCTCTATCTACTTTGTGACAAATGATTTCGAAACAGAATCAAAGAAGCTATCTCTGATTTTCCATTTTCCAGATCGAGTTTAATCAATGGCAATGATCAAGAAGCCAACAGAGACATACATGAGGAAGACCGGGTAAAGTGCGAGAGCTTTCCTTCTCGGGTTCACAGCGGCGCTCATGAAAGGATAAGCGGCCCAAGAGCTCCATGCAAGAGTCACACACACAACGATCATTTTGAGTATCACATTGTCCTTCAACATACAGATCACTGCTCCAACGTCAAGTGGAAACAGACAGTAACCCAAAAGGCTTAGGCTTTGGAAAAATATTATATGTCCTCCCTGAATCAAAACAATAGGATGTTTAATCTTGTAACAAGAAAGCCAAAAGTAGTATGTGGCTTGTACTCATACATGAATCAAATGTGTACTTACCAGTAGCAGCACATTTAGTGTGAGGATCACTGCCCCAGCTGCAAGCAGTGCAAAAGCCACCGCGAATACTTCGGACTGGAAATTAAAGAGAAAAACAATGAACCAGATGCAATTGCAATAGACACAGAACATGCAATCCGTTTTGGTCACAAACGCTTATGTATCTACATCTGTTCAATGATAAAATGTCTAATATGGTCGATTGAATATCGGATCCTAGACATCAGATTCTACGAAGGCAAAGACAGGGGAAAGCAATGAATCTCAAGATTACAAGTAAAAAAGCAATGAATCTCCAAGATTACAAGTAAAAAAGCAATGAATTTCAAGATTACAAGTAAAAAGCACCATATGTTGGATGTTGGCAACAACTTGTTGCTCATCAAATTAAATCTATGAGCAACATCCTAATGGAACTCTCCAGCCAAAATGTTACCATTCCTCACTCTATGTACCCGGAGAATTCCAACGATTTCAATAGGGCAAGCTAAAGCTAAGATATTTTTGATTTCTTCATCCACAAAGGTTCCAAAGATTAAAACTGAAATCGAAATCTGGGGGCTTTACCTTCTTGACAGAAGCAGACCATGAAAGAGTAAGCCCCAAGAAGACAATGAAGAAAAAAGGTCCCCAAAGATCCCAATCCCTAAGTGCCTTCCCAGGATCCTCCCTATACGGATTCGGAAAAACCACGAGCTTCAGATTACTCACGATCCGCGACAGATCTCGCTTCACAGTATCCCACACAGGCTCCGTCAATGTGTTCGGCGGAGATCCGAATCCGCTCCCTCCGATGGTCTTGGGACCTTCGGAGCTGCCGAAATTTCCCGCCGGAGGAAGAGACGGAGGGACTGGGACAGGCGTCACCTTCTGAGCTGAGGAGGAGGAAGAGGAAGACGGCGGGAGCGGTGGAAGGTTCGATTGAACAAACGGCGAGGATGAAACGGGAATGGAGGGACGGATCGGACTCGGCGGACGAGCAGGAAGGACGGTTCCGGGACCGGATTGAAATCCGTCGTTCATCATATTCTCAATCTCGTCGATGTCCGACTGAGACGATTGATAAAGTGGTGTGGTATCGTTGTGCGACATCTTCGCTTTCGATTTCCGACGTTGATTTCACCGGCGAACAAAAATTGCAGGATTCGGGTAATTGGTTGTTTATTATTCCGGGAAGCAATTTAGGGCAGAAGCTTTTGATGTGTTGAAGAAATCGATCAGATCTCAGTGGTAAATTTAATAAAGGTAGGAAATTAAATTAAAAGAAAAAATAAAAAAACGTGTGACGCAGTGCTCTCATTGAAACGACATCGTATAAATACAACGACGCCGTTCGCTCGATTATGTGTTGGTTCAACTCTAGATGTCTAGATGTAAATTTAAGGAAGTGGCAAGTTATATGACTTGGTAATTAATAATTATCAATCATTAAGACTCTAAAGTTAAAGCCCATCCATTGTAAATCTCATTCTTTGTAATTATGTGATTAGTAAATGAATTTGTGAAGTTGAAAATATTTTTCATTGGATATAAACTTTTGATGAATTCTTAGAGTATGTTCATCAGTGAATTTTTAAGAGAGGAGTTTACTAACATATAATATTATATTTTTTTGATTTTTGTTTTATTTTTTTTTAAAATTGTAATTTTCGACCCATCAGTATATTAAATTTTGGGATGATACCGTCTCTTCAGATTCGTCGGGATGATACCATCTCTTTAATTTTAAGTTTTTTTGTCTTAAAAACTGTGTTATGAACTCTTCTTGATTTCCTGATGTACATGGTCTTAGCTATCAAAATTTTATAAAAATTTTAGTAGCTGCATTTAGATCGCATTTAACACGTTTCTCATAGTTTGCTACAATGTGTGTAAGTTAAACAAATTCATCTGAAAAAAAAAGAACTATCATTTTCATAAACATATTTTCTTCTTATAAACAGAGACATCTCTTATAATTACATATAGACACACCTTTTGCTTTATAGGACAAAGATATACAATCGAAAGAATCAAAACCAGAAAGAGAAGTAAAACAAGACGTTGACACTCATGAGACAGAGAGCATTCACATAAAAACAGAGGATGATAGATAAAGAAATAAAGTAGTATAATCAATTAAACATTCTATGACCTTGTGGTACATTCCCGAGGGATTCCCTGTGGAAACCTCTTAGTGTCCGTACAGTAATTGTAGATCATGTAATTCTTCTGAACCCATCTGAGTCTAGCTTGGCTCGTCGAGTCCATTTCTTGAGTGTACCAACTAGCGTTTGGTTTCGAGCTACAAGAGGATCTTCCCTTGGAATTAACACACGCGTCGACCTTAATGTTCCTGTAAGAAGCCGTGAATGGTGCTTTGGACCAATCTGTTTTAACCAGACCGCCTCTAGTTGCCCAATCGTCTGCGTTCCATAAGCTCGCGTACATCCTCATCGGCTTGTTCTTTGGAAACAAAACACCGATCGACTCTGAGTTCTTAAACTCTCTGATTGGTGTATTATCGACGGTGAATCTGAGCAAAAAAAATAAAAATAGAACAGATTAGGGATGAGAAAAAAAAAAACTAAAACCCTAATTAGGGTTCTTAATGGGGTGTACGTGTGAAACAAGAAAGATGAGATTTTTGACTTTACATGATTCTTTGAGGGTTCCAGAGGATGGAATAAGTGTGGAAATTCGCGGATGGGTCGAACCAGAGATGGAATTGTTGCTCTTTGTCACCTTTACCTTGAGTGTAAACATTAGTGTGTAAAGTATAAGGATCTCCACTCATATTACCCAAGAACTCAAAATCAATCTCATCCCAAGTCGATCCTTCCGATTTCAGCTGAAAATCGGGAAAACATACACAATTATCAAGAAAAACTCTTAAATATTATCAATCCAAAACCACATAAAAGTCCAAGAATAATTGTAACTTACGTAGAAAGTTGTGACAGTTCCTGCTGAGTTACCGGGAACGAGCTTGATCTGCATATCGATCTTTCCGAACAAATACTCTGTTTTGGATTGAAAACCAGAGCCAGAGGATTTGTCTAAGGAGAGAGTAAGAAGCTGGCCGTTGTTGAGTATCTTACCACGGCCGTTTCCCCAAGCTACGTTGACGTCGCTGTTGAAATCAGCTGCGGAGGCTGAAAACGCCGCCGCGAGAAGAGCCGTGAAGAAAAATGTTTTGAAAGGAGACATTTGTGTGTACGTGTGTCTGTGCGTACGTGTGTGTTTTGGGATTTGGTGAGGAATGTGAGGAAGAGAGAATAAGGGAGAGAGATATATATAGTGTGGGTAGGAGGAAATTAAAAAGAAGAGCTAAATTCTCTTTAAATAAATGGGAAGAGAGTGGGTGAACAAAAGGAAGGCTAATATCAAGATATTGCATGCAAGATGTATTACAGCTGGACTCTCAAGTATGCCTCTATCATTTGGTAAGCAGATTATTTTTACCACCTTTGATTAAAAAATAAGTTATATGCTTATGTAATTATGATGATATTAAACATGGACATGTTGTTAGAAGATTGTTTTTTTCATAATTTCTTTCATAGATTTTTGTCTTATATAATTGGTTACATATATAGTTCTACACGGATTTCGAAATTCAAATGTGTTAGTACATCTTAAATCACTACGTAGAGGCCTAAGAGGGAAGAGAGAAAATGAAAAGAATAGGTCTAGAGGGATTACGTGTGGGAATGTTCGACTTCATATTCCCGAATCTAGTTGAATTTTGAGAAGAATTTTATGTCTTTTGCATATCTTTTTGTTTAAGTATTTTGATATTATTTTACCAAAAAAGTATTTTGATATTTTCCTTTTTTTTCAGAGTTTGTATGTATCCAATTATTGGGTCGTAACTGGAACAAGTTTCTGGAATAAAACAAGTTGCTTTTGACTCGCGTCTAACTTTTCTAAGGACATTTGAAAGCTTCTAATCTTTACATATTTTTTGGCTATATTATCATGATGTGATTCTTTTATTTTATCTTCATTATTTTGAATTGAGAAAAAAGCAACGCTATCCTTTTACAAAAAAAAAAAAAACGAAGCAACGAAGAAAAGTAAGAGTTTACTGTATGGGTTAAAGATTTGGTTGCGTTAGCAAAGGTGCAAGTAGGAGGAGAGACACGCTTTCTGTCTTTCTCTCTTGTTAATCAAAAAGGTCAATTTCTTTTGGTTGGTCACAAATTAATGAAGGGACTCACTAATAAAAAGCTAATAATAAATAGCTCTAATCGATCGTATGTGCAACCATACCTATAGGTCTAATTTATTTTCTAATTCTCTAAAATGATATGATAATTGATGTATATAAGAAAAGGAATTTGAACTAAAAAAATAAAGCTGAATTATATACGTAATATCAGTATTTTACCATTAACATGGAGCCTAGGAGACCCCTACAAGTAGATTCACTATTGAATCTTCAAAACCAATATGCTAAATAATTCATTTTCTAGAATCACATATGTTAAAAAAATGAATGCATGTACCATTAGTGGTGTGGTGTGACAGACAGATTATTGTTATTGAGTAGTTTTGGTTAACGTGATTTCCTTTTTTGTTGATCAAATTATCAGAAATTAAACTTTATTGTTCAAAATTTGACAAACTAAAGCTGCTATTAGTCCATAGTTTAGCTAGAACAAAATCAGGAAACCACAAATAAAAGAAATTTAATGTTCTATGAGGACAACTACTGAAATTTATTGGAAATGACTAATGAATATGAGTGGTCCAAACTCAAAGGCCATTAGCACCAAAGCTATTTTCATCCTTATTTGTTCATTTAAAGGAACAAGCAACGTTTGATATTTCCAATTTTTTGCCAATTTTGTATTCTGTTTTTACCCCAAAAGGTACTAATAAATGGTCAATTTCTTTTCCAAAAATCATATTGAGTTTTCACATCATTGCCAAACAATATCATAAAACTATAGATTATCGACAACTGTATTTGTTACTAGCTTTTGAATAATTCGTTAAATATAGGTCGACGAGGAGTACTAAGTATTCATATCCTGATGAAAAACCTATACTTTCATATTTATTATTTTGACCCCTTTTTTCTCTGTCATGGGTAACAAAAACCATTAGATTTGAATGTCAAAATATTCAAATAATAGAACCACCACTTAAAAATTCTGTAGTAGAAAGTATGAATCAATTTATAAACTCAACTAATAAAATGTTAAAATTTGTCAACCACATGCAATTTAAGTTCATTATTACACCGACATGATTTGAGGTAAGTACAAAAGACAGTTTGGTTTTAACTTTTAAGAAGTAATATCATGTTTTGAGTAAGTAATAGTAGTTGACAAAAAAAAAAAAAAAAAAAGAGTAAGTAATAGTATGGAAAATGGATGGACCATAAGAAAAAAGATGGGATAGCTACGTAATTGAAGCGAATACTATTACAAGAAGTTATAAACATATGAATATAATTCATTGGATGACTATTCTTGACACGGAAATTTTGATTTGGACCGCCTAACCAAACGTCAACTTGGTCCCACTAAGCTTTACAGCTGTACCATTACGGAATTAATTTCTAAGTATAATGGCTCATCACAATTCTTAATCATGAGCCTAATCTCACTGTTAATTCAATTCATTCATATACTTTTTCATTTTAACGAACCCATAACTCGGACAACTATGCATGGTCTTGTCAATTCCGGGCTCAATAAATGTTGCAGTTATTAATTTTTAGAAAAGCTATAGTTTTTATTAATATTACATATCATTCAAATTTCTGGGTAACCATGTCGTTCGCGGGCTGATTTTTTTCTTTTAAAGTGTGTTATTACCAACTTTATTAACAACTAAAATCGAATCTTATATCAATTGACTTTTTTTAAAAGGCCAAACTTCTAATTTGTAATCCAAAAACAAGATTTTGTGTTATTGCATATGTTCCACAAATTTTGAGTTTTTGAACTATATACTGTCAAGTATGGATTCATTTATATCGTTTAACACCACCATTGTTGAATTATATACACTAAGAGTTTGAGATTTCCGAGTTACTACTCTCTAGTAATTTTGAAATCTTGAAATATTGTAATATTCCAGAAATTACTAGACGACAGTAATAACTCGATATTGTAGCATGATGATTTTTGAAAAACTGTCTATTGGTCAAGTGTGACGGAAGATGAGACTGATGAGTGACGACGATGGATTCTCAATGCATGCAAAATAATAAAATAGAGAGATGTAGTCTCACCACACAACCACACAATTATTTCTTTAGAAACAAAAAAAAACCACACAATTATTTCTTTAGAAACAAAAAAAAACCACACAATTATTTAGAACCAAATAAAATATTTCATAGACATTTGTTACAGAACAAATGGTGCCTAACCAAATATCTTCGTATGTTTTTTCCCTAAAATAATTGGCTGAATGTCATTTTCACAAACCAGCTGATCTCAATGGATAAGCGTAGTTAGTAATTGACATCAATTATTTGGGTTTGTCTTGTAGGTCACTTAAGTCCTTCTCAAACTTTGGTTAAGGGCGATAATTATATATTAATAATGATACCATGATCACTTTTCTGAACTATAATCCTCACTACTTAAAATATCAATATCCATTACATCCACTTGTTTCGATAACAATCTCACTGGATAATCATCAACAAATTCTCATTTATCCATTTTTTTTTCTTGACTACGTACTGTAAATCAACTACAGTCCCTTAATTACTGAGATAAAATAAATTTTAGCATAACATCTCGTAAATAATTTTTTACAATGAAAGATTTTATGTGTGCTTTCATTTAATCATAAATGCCTATTTAACAATCACACTCTCATCCAATTAGTACATGTATTTATCAAGTTTATAATAATTAACGATTATATATAAGTTTACCACAAATCCGCAAATACATAGTTTAAAAACTATAACTATTTGAAACCAACTTTTATCATGGCCAATCCGAGAAGAACCTGCCATTAGAAGACTTTTTGGAGTAGATATGAGCGACTTTCAGGTGAATACATGGATTTGCATTACCAGGACCAGCTAGCAATTTCAAATACAAATATTAAGGACGGATAGTAATTACTCATTAGTATTAAATTCTTTTTTTCTAATCCGAGATTTTGGTTTTGTTAAATGGGTTTCCACAATATTTTATTTTACTGTGTAGCTATATACTTTGGTAAGCATATTTTTTGGTGCTCGTAGCTGTTAATTAAATTCAGTCATATACTTGTTCATTTTAACGAACCCATAACTCGGACAACTATGCATGGTCTTGTCAATTCCGGGCTCAATAAATGTTTCATGTATTATTTTTTAGAAAAGCTATAGTTTTTATTGATATTACATATCATTCAAATTTCTGGGTAATTTTTGTTTCTTAAAGTACATAATTTGTAGGTGGCTACCTATTGACATAGCAAGGATGTGAAGTCGTCATTGGTTAGAACCGTTGCTTTCGCCAAATTCGGATGTCCTCATTCCAACTATTCATCATTGCCCCTTTTGAGTATACTCTACATTGCAATGCAAGGTAATGAAGAAACCTTTTTTAGGACCAAACTCTGGCGATCCAAGCCTATGGCCTCAATATGACTCGGGTTAACTATTTGCTTGCAGAGAGTTCGGGTTGCAGTCCGCAACCATCACAGATGAGTTTGATATCTGTGCGGTTTGCCTGGAAAGAACATGAACTGTTGCTGATGAAGGTCGATCTAAATTCTTTTTATACCCTTTTTAAGGATCCTTAACTTAAAAACGAAAGTTGTGGGATTTTGTGTTTCAGATTGTGACCATCAGCTATGTGGGAGATGCGCGCCATATCTTTGCTCATCGAGCAATGTTCTCTTGGGGACAGTTGGGCCGCCGGGATCAATTCGCATTTGATGAAACATTGAGACTTAATTTTCAACCCAAATCAAACAAAGCTATAAGACAGTGTTACAAATAAGTTATATACTGATGCTTGCTTCTTTTTCTTTTTTTTCTTCTTTTAATAAATAATGCTAGATAACGATAAAACCTACAAAAAGAAGAAGAAGAATAATTACTATACACTTGTTTTTGCTACTCAAACCCTAAAATATGCAAGAAAATAGTCTTCTACTTGGTAGAAACAAATTATACGAACTCTAAAAACCTTCTGCAGTTATATAATAAGATTCATATTTTTAATCTTTGTACATGTGCATTGAAATTGAGTACCAAACCGAAGAAAAACTATGCAGTTCCATATAGAGGGAGTAGTAAACTCAAGAAAAGTTCATCAAGCGTTTTTTCTTAAAAAAGGTAAGTAAATCAGAGGACAAACTCTGGAGCCTGTGTGAAAAGCCAACTCAAGCCTGTTTCTGCACGTTGCACCATTCGATGACTTCCTCCATCTCTACGTTAAACTGTTGCTGCACGTCGTTCTGGCGGGAAAGAATAGCCATCTCATTCACTTTAACCGTCATCAACCTCTCTTTAGCCGTCTTCAACCTCTCACATAAATCTGTAATTTGTGCCTCCAGTTTTTGAATTTTTTTCCTGGCATCCTCCAGAGCTGATACAAGATGACCTTTTTCAACGCACAGCTGTGATAGTTTATCCTGCTTTTTAGTCACGTCATCTGCAGATCGGCCAAGGACACCATCAAGTTTTTTCTGGGGTCTGTTTTTTTCTTCTCCCCTATTTTCGGTTTAGGTAACGTTGATTTTTTCCGCGGAGTTAACGTCTTATTCAGATTTTTGGTTCTGTATTTGGCTTCTTCGTGAGGTAAATTGTCTAGAGCTTCTTTGGTACTGGGAACCTTCCAATAAAAAGATTGAAGGAGGTTATCTATCTCCTCCTCCGTCTTGTCTGGGTATTTCTTCTGGAGGAATTCTTGAGTGTTCTGGGAAAGTGAATTTACCAGATCCCAACTTTTCAGGGAAATGAACAGATCTGTCCCTCCAAAACCCGGCAGAACCGAATCTCTTACCGCAAGACCACTTCCATTGATAAAAATTATGAGTATTTTTTGTACAAATTTTGTACAATTTTATCTATTTTGTCTCTATAAGATAATCCATAAGAAGCCTAAGATAGTGTCTCGTGATCCATGTGTTTAGGGTTTTAGTAAGTAGTATAAATACTCTTCTTAGTAAAACTTGTATGGTAACTTTTGAGAGTTGTCTTCTTCTCATAGAGACAACTCTCTTCATCTTCCAAGTTTTTCCTGTATAGATATTATTTTCTTGATTTAACATTCCTACGCAACATCGTGACTTGTTGAGGGTGAGAAAAACAGAAAGAGGTTACGAACGAACTTAGTTTGATTGTGGCGACGAGGATATTACATGAAGCCTTGATCAATCCCAAAGAAGCAGAATCACAATTGAATTAATTACCGAACAAATAGATCAGTTAAATTTTGGTAACTAAAAAGGCTGTGCTTTGTCAGGAAACTAGGAAGATTCCTACAGATGAGGAAAAACAATTAAAAACAGATCTGAGGGGTGGTTATTTGGAAAATGAAAATCAAGAATCGATTTTAATTGTTTTTTTAATATAATTTTTTTAGAAAAAAATAAGCTTCCGGTTGGAGCTTGAGTGGCAAGCTACCTGAAGTACTAAAGAAAGCACAAGAAGAAGTGCAACGCGTAGTTGGGACCAAAGCTAAGATAATACCAATGACGAAATAGATCAAATGGACCTCCTCGTAAGGATTGAAACTTGTCATGTACCAAGCCGTTTCCGACACTGAACTTCCCTTCCAATACCAGCAGCTCTTGGTTTAGCTCATCCATGGACATTCCATGGTTCACTATCTGAAAAACCCCTAATGTTGCGGCCGCGGGTGATAATAAAGCGCCTTTGCCGTTCGTTGTGGCGGCGTCTATGATGACTTTCTCAGTGGTGACTCTTTTCTCCGGAAGTTGAATGTATCGTGAGGGCAATGTCTTTGGCGACATAACGTCGACGAGACCTTTTACTCCGTTGGTTTACTACGAAATCGGTACGTAATGGCGACGTCGGTATGAAAAGGTAACTGGATCATATGAAAAGGTAACCGGATCATTTGCTCATGTTGGTACAACTACAAAAATTGTAATAGAGCATTTCAAAATTAGACGTTTTGATCTAGAAAGCTTGAGCATGAGTTTGGAATCTGGCGAGCTCGAGTTTTGAGATCACATCTTTGGTCAAAATTAGCCTAGAAGATCCATAATGGGAATTTTTTTTTTGTTGGTTTTAAAACATTGATAAATGAACGTAGTTTGGTCGGGTTTGAATGGGATTTCTGAAATATTAATTCCCATTCATATATTGCTTCTCTTTTTATCCAATTTGGCACTTTAATTGTGATTTTCTAAACTTTTGTCCAGTTTCTAGAACCCTTTCACTGTGCAATAATTTCTAGAAAAACTCGTTTAACAATATGACTTGAACGATCAAGAAAAAATGAGCCTGTTTTTGTTTACGTGAAACACTGAGGTCATACTAGCTCGATAACCTCGTGAGGTGAAAAGAAGTATAGATAAAATCCTAAAACAGTGGACATCCCATCCAGCTCTGTGATTGTGTTTGTAATTCTTAAACTTTGTCAACAGGTTACAAGAATTTCAGAATCAAATTACTCAACGGACAGATCAGAAAAACAATCACGCTTTTACCTCCATTTTTATCAATCCACATTCTTCTTGAAAGCATGTCAGCATCGATGAAGACAATCCACAAAAGACAAAAGATGAAGACACTCCACAAAAAAAATTTGGTTGTTGTTTCAGTTACCAACTTGCATGCAATGCAAAAATCGAAGAAAGGAACTATATACAAGTAGATTAATTCAATAAATTAATCAAACGACAACTGATGTCTAAAAAAAAAACATAGTAAAAAAAAGAGTCAAAAGAAATAAAAGAGGAGGTGCAATAAATTGCTTTCTTATTTTAGGGATCTCACTTGCGCCTCACTTGCTGGATCTCAACCAAACTTGGAACATAACTGAAAACCAATGGGCACCATAATACTTGTGTAGTTTCTACATAAAAAGGGAATTCTGTGTGATAATTATCAATAACGTACACCATCCGTTTGCTACTTCGCTCATTACTTTCATCACAGCAGACAACCACTTTCTTCTCTTCGTCGATCACAAAACTTATGGGAATATAATACAAATTTCTCATGTGATGAACAGGTATATCAAATGTAAAGGATTTGCTCCACACAGCTTCAGTACCAATATTGTTAGTCACCCACAAGTCCATCTTTGATGAGATCCGATGTAACACTAGAAGTTGTTTTTCTCGAGCAACTGATAGAGCCATCAGTCCACCACTATTCTGATGAATCATTGAAAGACTCAGACGTTCTATAAATCTCTCTCTTGTAAAATCAAAACTTGCTAAGAATCTATAGTGGTCTGTTTCATCAAAAGCAAGCCAGTAAGTATTTCCCTTCAAAGACACACCCGTTTTTGTACTTATGAGGCAGTTGAAAGCGACGACATCAACAAGCACCCTCCATGAATCAGAGCTAAAATCATAAATCTCATACCCAACACAGTTATTATTTGCATGGTAATACCTCAAAATTTTGAAGCTAAGGCAATTATTGTTGTTTTCGTAACCTAAAGAATACATATACCATCTCATGAAATCATTTTTGGGTTGGATTCATCTGGTTTCCCCCAAACACGGATTCCAAACAACGAGTTCACATTGGGTGATGGTGCATAACAACAAACCGCCGCAGTGAAAAACTTCCCTTACTTTTTCTGAATCAGATAAATGAGTAATATTCTTTAGTCCAAGTGGAACCTTAAACTCTATAGACGATAGATCAGCGACGTTGAGACTGTTGCTTACTGAGAAAGTTATTAATTTCGTCAACATCACTAATAGAACCACGGACTGCTTTGGAGCTTTACCAAAGTTTTTTTCGATGAATCTTCCGTCTTTGAATAAATCCTTCCATCGTTTGCAAATAGATCGAAATCGTTTCAGATATGTGGCTGGAACCCTAGAGAGTATTTCTTCTACCAACTCGGACGGAAGATCGGACATTATCACCGTGATCTTGCAACACGACTTTGGGCGTAGAAATTAGGGTTTTGGTTTTTTCACGTTTACCGCCTTCAACCATTCTTGTCTTATATACAAGAAACGATTTATTCTTACCTTTTCCTAAGTGGATTTTTTTGTTAATTTTCCTAATCAATTTTGTAATATATATGTGTGTATGTGATAAAATTGAAAATGGTATATTATCACAAAACTAAAAAAAAAAAAAAATGGAGGCCAAGGGCGCATAGGAGCCGCTACTTATGATCACCATATTTGTATCCAAGTTAGCTATGTTCTTGATGTAGAGCCTTCTAGGAATCCTTCTGTAACTGAAGGAAGACAGCATCTACAGCTTCATTGCTGATGTCAAGGGGCTTATAGGCTGCCCTATATTGGGAACGTTCCGCACACCACATCGGCTACTTCTGCTAGGACGGATGGAATCCACAAGCAAAAGAAGATGAGCTCTAAAATATTGGCGCAGAGCAAAACAGGTGTGAAAAGCCATCTGTTTCTCTGAAGACGTCATGACTTCAGGAGCTGATCGGTCAGAATTAGCACCAGTTCTAACTGAGGCTGCATCTTTAAGAATTGCAAGGAGTTTCTGCAAACTATCATGAGCATCAAATGCATCCAAAATGGCTCTGAAGACAAAAGCAGCAGCAAACTTGATCCTGGGAACACTCTAGAAGTTCGATAGCTAATTTAACCACTTGATGTATGAGATCCGATGGAAGTGCACATACACGTTACATTATACCCTGAGATAAATTTTGAAGGTAAGACGAGCCGATTAACGAGATCAAAGAGATGACAGGCGAACAAAAATTGCATTACAAGCCGGAAAATTTTGCTGTTAGTATTACCTGAAGAGAACCTGTGGTGTATAAGCAAGATGAGAGACCATAAAAGGTCTCATTAACCCTTGGAACAGCCAGTAATTTTTGTATGCCACCCCGGTCAACAAACATCGCAGCAAATTTCCGGTGAGCAGCCAGAGCACATATCAACTTTATGACATCAGTCATCAGGTAACAAAGGAGACAGTGTAGAACTATAGTTACATAGGGATGTACGTTACAACAGCAATTTTGATGCAAAAAGCTATAGATTCTATATTTCTATATATCATCAGCATGACTATACCTCACACCTCTTAAATCCGATCTGAAGTAACTTCGTATTTATTCCCGTAACCATAGTACTAAACCATACCAAACCAATTTTGAAATGAAAACCGAAACCTAATAGATTACTCTAAACCAAGAGAAAGAAACATATGAGTTTTCCTAGCCCCTCTCCAAAATCCATTGCTTTTTTACACACAACGCTGCGGAATCCGATCATCCTCGGTTTAGACTTCATTACTTCATTTCAATGGCAAAAAGAAATCTCAACTGTAATCTCCAAGTATATTTATGTTTTGTGTTGTTGTCGTCTTGACCAATGCTACACAAACCACAGTATTCCGGCTACGAAACAACAAAAGATAAAGATAAAAAACACCGTTCACCTTTTGTTTGTCTGTTTGATATAGGAATACTGCATTAGACACAACTTTCTTTTAGGTCCAGTTTCTTATCAGCCTAATTACATATTAAGGAGAAAAGGACCCAGCAAACTGAACCAGAACACTAAACCAGATTGGATGGAAATTATATCAGCTCGGTTTGTGTCTCTCCCACGAGAGAATCAACTAGGGTTAGGAATAGATGTCGATTTCTTGATTCTATTCACATCAAGTCTGAGATATCGATTATCCATTACTACTTAAAAACATCTTACACGAACACCATACATACAATTACTCAACATTAGTACTATTTGCCAACATAAGAAACACATTCAAACGAAAAAAACAATTGTAAACTTGATTTGAATCTTGTATATGATATAGATCTCAATTTCACTCTACATCCCGATACATATAATTCAAAAACTAATATTGCATTTATTCAATTATCATATTTTACATGCTATTATTGTAAAACACACTTTAAGAATGTTGAAAAACTCTAGAAACAAGTAAATTCGTTAATTCAAATCAAATCAAACACATAAAAATACATTGAGGAAAAACAACAGAAATATAAATTTTAACTACGTAAGAAGTAACCCACACGGAGGGCGGCTGCTTATCTAGTGAAAAACATTGGAATTACGAAGACAATGCCAACTTATTCATGAATCAAACAAACATTAATTTTTAAGTACACTCTTGAGGAGCACCTCGAGGAAACCTTTTCTTATCGGTGCAATAGTTGTAGACCATATACTTACTCTGTGCCCATTTCACTCTATTCTTGCCTTTGAAATCGAGTTCTTGAGTGAACCATGGGGCATTCACAGGGCAAGATGATTTTCCATTAAGCCATACACAACCTTCCACATTGTAGTTTCTGTAGGAAGCGGTAAAAGGAGCTTTTGACCAGTCTGTTTTCTCTAATCCTCCCCTTGTGGCCCAATGCTCTGCTTCCCAAAGACTCGCATAGAGCCTCATTGGTTGGTCATTTGGGAACGGAACTCCAATTGACGCGGAGTTCTTGAACTCTCTAATTGGAATTCCATCAATTGTAAAACTGAAAAAGGGAACAAACAAAAAGAGAGAGAATGTTAGTCCATGAGCTCATTCCCACAAACCGTTTATACTATTCACAAGAGATCAAAGGGTGCACTTACATAACCCTTTGGGGATTCCATGTGATGCAGTAAGTGTGAAAGTCAATGGTTGGGTCGAACCATAGATGAAATTGTTGTTCTTTATCTCCTGTGCCTTTTGTGTAAACATTAGTGTGGAGAGTATATGGATGGCCGCTTATGTTTCCCAAGAACTCAAAATCTATCTCATCCCACGTAAGTCCTGGTGATTTAAGCTACACAAGGTCATCATAAAAGCAAATAGTGTGAATATACGAAATCTAGTGAATAGCAAAAGATAGCAAGAATTGATTTGAATCCGTATTTTGAAATATACTTACATAGAATGTTGTGACTGTTCCAGCAGAGTTACCAGGGACAAGTTTCATTTGAACCTCGGCTTTGCCATATAAAAACTCTTGATTGGACTGAAAACCCGAACCAGAGAATTTGTCGAGCGAGAGAGAAAGAAGATTCCCAAGGTTGTCGTGAATCTTTCCGCGGCCATCACCCCAATGTATCTGAACGTCTTTGTGGAAGCTACCCGCATAGACGCCCACAGAATGTACTGCAAAGAGAAAGAGAGTCAAGAATGGGAACCTTGCATCGCAAGAAGACTTCATTTTGGTAGATTCTAAAAGAGTAGTAATGATAGATGAGTTGGTAATGGGAAAATGGAGGTAAGGGGCATTAGTATTTATACATAGCTTTGGAAATGAAAAGAAAGAGAGATAAGAGGTCCAATGGAGGTGTGCTTTTGTCTTTTTGGCTCACAAATTTATAATATATCCTATAGATTGCTATATATACACACTTTCCGGCTATTTGGACCATAAATCATATTTATTCAGAGTGCATGATTCATTTAGATATTTGATTTGCAAAGTTTTGTCGGTCAAAAACTTTAAGTCAAAATAAAGTCCTTATAAATTTTCCTAATCATTCTATGTATTTATTCTGTTTACAATGTATTATATAACTTTGTAATATTTCGCCGACATAGTCAGTGTTCTTAAAACAACATCTGAATTAACACATCATATCAGAACTAACCAAATAAAGAAATTAGCGTCTGATTATCGAATTCCGAATCATGAAAAAAAAAATACATATACGAAGTCAAACATATTCATTTATGTTTCATGTTTCTTTTAAAGATGTTTCATGTTTTTTAACACTCTTAGCAAAACAAGAATATAATGGGTTAAACAAATCGATGAGAAAAGATCTGACAAACAAGTAATGCTCATAGATGAGTGTCCTATATATAGATTGCTATATACTTTCCGACTGTTTTGACCATAAATCATATTTATTCAGAAAGCATTATTTATTTATAGATTACTTTTTCGCAAAATTCTGTCGGTTATTGGTAATAAAAAAAAACTGTCGGTTAAGAACGAGTCCTCACACTCTCCTCGTAATCCTTCCATGTATATTATTCTCATTAAAAATATTATTAAAACGTGTATCTTTCACCACATAATCAGTGTTCTTAAAACAACCTCTGAAATTAGCACATCATATGTAAAGAACTAACCAGGCAAATGAAATTAGTGTTCCATTATCGAATTCCAAACCTAGAAAACAAAAATTTCTAACTAACTATATGAAGATAATGTTACAAAACCAAACCAAGGAGATGCTGCATTTTGATTTTAGAGACAAGTTGAAGCAAGCCAAATCAATAGTCAATTTGATCAAATTATTAGTTTTTGCTATTTTTCCATTAACTTTTCGAACCATAAATCTTTATCATCTAGCCAACACGGACGCTATGGCTTCTATATCTTTCTAAGCTTTGAACTGTTTTCCAGATTTACTCACCTCTTTTGTAGAATAGATCATATGTACGTGCTTTTTCTTTTAAAAAGGTATATATATATATATTCATATATATATATCTGTATGTATTTATCCATGTGATGATAGCAGCTTGTTTTTAGTCAATAGTAATGTTCTCCTTGTTTTTTATTTTTTTTTTTTTGCCAAGGGAACAATGTAATAGGTTGACATCTTTGTAACACATTTTCTTCATTTTTAATGATATTAACATTCATAGCAAAAAAACTATCTATGTAATTGGAGTCATTTAGATTATTATTCTTCTGATGTCTCAACCATAGATTCGTTTTGTTAAGTTTGGTAAAATTACATAAGAACGACATTAATATCAATTCAATTTGGTCGACGACCTTATATGACTCTAAAATATTTGTGTTTCTCCTAATTAACTTGAAGCCAAAATATATGTAAAGTTGTTAATTTAATATAGAGGATTTTGAATTTCAACCTGATCTTGAGCTCGAATACGTTATAATACTATGTTTAAGAAGAAAAAAAAACTTGAATAATGATTACATGTATTACCAACGACTTCTCAAATTAATAGATACTAATAAAAGATCCAACATTGTCAAATGCATATGAAAAAATCATATCACATATGCAAGGTGACATAAGGACTGGACTTGTGAGGTTTGAAGCCTTGATCACTAAAAAAAGTTTGCACATGGAAGCAATCAATCGACTAGTTAAAACCGTATATATAAAATTGTAGGCCATATGCATGGTATCATTACACCATGATGAAAGCCTATAGTCAGCTTCGCAACTAAATATAATATTACTGACTTTCTAAAATCTAATGAAACCTATTGAGTTTTCAGTCTAAGCTTTAGTAACGAGAACTATTGTTTCCATAATTTATTATTTGTTATTACTTAAAAAATCTTACACATACACACCACACAGAATATGAGCAACAAATGAATGAAAACTAAATATAATAGATAAATCTCGACTGAGTTACAAGGACAATGGCAAGTAACTTATTCACCAATCAAAGAATCAAGTGCACACTGCTGGAACACCTTGAGGAAACCTTCTTTTATCGGTGCAATAGTTGTAGACCATGTACTTACTCTGTGCCCATTTCATTTTTTTCTCGCCTTCCATATCAAGTTTTTGAGTGAACCATGAGGCGTTCGCAGGGCAAGATGATTTTCCATTAGCCCAGACACATCCTTCCACGTTGTAGTTTCTGTAGAAAGCAGTAAAAGGAGCTTTTGACCAATCTGTTTTCTCTAATCCTCCCCTTGTGGCCCAATGCTCGGCTTCCCAAAGGCTTGCATAAAGCCTCATTGGTTGTTTCTTTGGGAACGGAACTCCAATCGACTCTGAGTTCTTGAACTCTCTAATCGGAATGCCATCAACTGTAAAACTGAAAGAGAGGAAACAAAAGAGAATGATTAGGAATGCTACATCTAAAAAATGTGTTAAGTCTAGAATAATATTTAAGAGACATGTAATAGTCCATTGCTTTTGAGTTCCAAAACCCATAAACTTTAACAAGAATGTCGGTCCATGAGATCATAGCATCAAAACATATAAGATTAAACAATATACATGGGATGAAAAGAAGCGCTTACATAATCCTTTGGGGATTCCATGTGATGCAGTAAGTGTGAAAGTTAACTGTTGGGTCGAACCATAGATGAAACTGTTGTTCTTTGTCTCCAGAGCCTTGTGTGTAAACATTAGTATGTAGAGTGTACGGATGACCACTTATGTTTCCCAAGAACTCGAAATCGATCTCATCCCACGTTGTTCCAGGCGATTTAAGCTACAAAATAAAACACCAACATGCTCATCAGTTATATGTTATCTAGCCAATAGGAAAAAGATGACAAAAATATAACAAAAATATATGAAGTTGTATGTTGCTTACATAGAATGTTGTGACTGTTCCAGCAGAGTTACCAGGCACAAGTTTCATTTGAACCTCGGCTTTGCCATATAGAAACTCCTGATTGGATTGAAACCCTGAACCAGAGGATTTGTCGAGTGAGAGAGAAAGAAGCTTTCCATCTCTGTCACGAACCTTTCCACGGCCATCACCCCAATGTATCTGAACGTCTTTATGGAAGCTACCGGCATAGACTGCCACGGATTGTGCCGCAAAGAGAAAGAGAATCAAGGACGCGAATCTTGTACTGCAAGAAAACTTCATTTTTTGTAAATTATATCTCTGGAGGAGTATTTGATATCTCAAATTGTATTGTTGATGGAAATTTGAGGTAAGTGACATTAGTTTATATAGCTGATGGAAAATGGCCAAGGAAAAAGAGATGGAAGGTTCATGGGTTTTGATTATTGTAAGTGTGCTGTATTCTAGTTGGCTCATTTCGATCTCTTGCTGGTTGTTACAAATTGAATCTAATAAAATATCATTTCATTACTCGTTTATTGTTACAAAACAGAGAAAATAATGTATATGGACAAATTTGTATGTATCACATGCTGGTCCCGCGTTTTGAATGTAATGAGGTCACTTTGTTTGTCAACACGGCTTTTGACTTTTTGACCTGAGCGCAAACCCTCCGCGCCGCATAGAGGGTTCGAATATTAGTATTAGTATTTGCATTTTTATTTTCTTTCTTTGATTTTTATTTGTCTAACTTATTATTATGATTTTTGTGCTAACATTAGAGTTTCACCATGGTTTATTAAAAAAAAGAAGGTATGTTCCACCTATAAACTGCTGCATAAGAAACATATTTCGATCCAGCTAAAATGACATTTTACTCTCTAAATGAAACCACTAGGTATGAAAATAATGACATAAGCTAGGACGATTTTTATAACATTTTACGGTTATATTTAACTGAATTTTATATAACAGGCCGAGTAAGCTAGTATTTGAGACTTCGTTTTCCAAACTAGTACCTGGGAAACTTGGGCTACCAAACAATTAATTAATTATGAGATTGAGAAACCAATGGAGATATATATTAAAAATCATGGTTCTTTCCTAGCAATAAGAAACCACTGGTGAGGACACATATTTTCATGCTTTATTTTAATTTTTTACTTTTTTTTTGGGTCAAACTCACATGATCATGTCTTGCTAACTTATTTCGTTTCTACTCCATTTTGCGAAAACTAACTCATACTAAAGTTTTCTCATATAAAGTGTCCATAAAAACCAAATTACATCTCGGACCACATATTTAGCAAACCTCTTGATTTTTGTTTTCTTTTATATTCTATTTTGGTCTGTTCTCAAACAAACTTCGTGTTCTCAAGACTGATTTAATATCAGTTTGCTAGTGAGCAGAGCCTTTTGCACGACTAAGCTTTAGTCAAACCTATTTCTTTTGGCTACCTTACAACGAACCATCAAAATTAAAAGCATAGCTCAAGAAATGGGTGTCTCTATTAGAAAATAAAAAATCATTTTTAATCTGATCAAAAACTGGAAACAAAAATGTATGTTGAATATTGGACCGTCCTGCCCGCTCATCCATCTAGAATATGTGCTTCCCAAGAATTGTTGTGTAATTTAGTAATGAATTTGTCAGTGCTCCCGCCTCCCAATAAATTCCACAAATCAAGTGGAGCCAATTAAGTAGTAGTAGTAGTTAAAACTTTTGTTTCAATAACTTATTGTTTGCTATTAATTTAAAAATCTGATACATATGAGCAACAAATGAATGAAAAGAAAATAGATAAACACAAATTTGAGTTACAAAGACAAGGCCAAGTAACTTATTCACCAATCAAAGAATCAATAATTTTAAGTGCACACAGCAGGAACACCTTTAGGGAATCTTTTCTTATCAGTGCAATAGTTGTAGACCATATACTTACTCTGCGCCCATTTCACTCTATTAGCGCCTCTCCTATCAAGTTTTTGAGTGAACCATGGGGCGTTTGCAGGGCAAGATGATTTTCCATTAGCCCATACACATCCTTCTACATTGTAGTTTCTGTAGAAAGCAGTAAAAGGAGCTTTTGACCAATCTGTTTTCTCTAATCCTCCCCTTGTGGCCCAATGCTCTGCTTCCCAAAGACTCGCGTAGAGCCTCATTGGTTGGCTCTTTGGGAATGGAACTCCAATCGACTCTGAGTTCTTGAACTCTCTAATGGGAATGCCATCAACTGTAAAACTGAAAAGTGAAAGAAAGAAAAGAAAATCTTGATTCATGAACACATAGCCTCAAAAGATTTTATCATACTATGTACAAAGTGATAAAAGTAGGCGCTTACATGATCCTTTGGGGATTCCATGTGATGCAATAAGTGTGAAAGTCAGCAGTTGGGTCGAACCATAAATGAAACTGTTGTTCTTTGTCTCCTGAGCCTCTTGTGTAAACATTAGTATGGAGAGTATAAGGATGGCCACTTATGTTTCCCAAGAACTCGAAATCGATCTCATCCCATGTAACTCCCGGGGATTTAAGCTACACAAATTCATCATAATCACTAACATACTCAGTATATGAATGGAAAAAGATGACAAGAATGCCTTAGAATCACATGTTTTACTTACATAGAAAGTTGTGACCGTTCCAGCAGAGTTACCAGGGACAAGCTTCATTTGAACCTCGGCTTTGCCATAGAGAAACTCCTGCTTGGATTGAAAACCGGATCCAGAGGTTTTGTCAAGGGAAAGAGAAAGAAGCCTTCCTCCATTGTCGTGAATCTTTCCACGACCATCACCCCAATGTATCTGAACGTCTCTGTGGAAGCTACCCGCATAGACTCCCACGGACTGTGCGGCAAAAAGAGAGAGAACCAAGAACGCGAACCTTGCGCCGCAAGAAGACTTCATTATTGTAGATCTCAGATGTATATTGTTGATGGAGATTGAGGCATGTGACATTAGTAGTTTATATAGAGGATGAAAATGAAACGGAAAAGAGATAAGAGAGATGGAAGTTTCATGGGGTTGATCATTAATTGGTGCATGTGCTTTTGCCTCGTTGGGTCACAGCTTTATAAATAATGTATTAATGTAATACATTTGATTATTTGATCTGTTGTTTGCTGTTACAAAGTGAATCCTATTAAAATATTAATTTCATTTCTTTTTCTTATTGGTGCAAACCGAAATAAGTTTTGGACATTTGTATAATACTGGATGGTCCCAATGTTTTTGATGTGTCAACGCGGCTTCGACTTTCGAGCACCGCCTAGATGAATTCGTCTTTGTTCTTTCATTTCAAAACGAGCCCACCTACCTATACGTAACAGTAGGATAGTGTATACATTCAAAGTATCCTGAAATTTGGGTTTATATCATTACACATACCCTACCATTATCAGACTTTTATATTTTGGTAAAAAAATTTGAGTTTATATTAATTTCTATTGTGTTTATTTATTTAAAATATTTATATGAAAATATCTTTCCGAAATTGTAAACTTATTAAATAGGAAAATGTGACGAAATTAAAAACCAATAAAAACAAAATAAAAACGTTGTAATTTTGTTGAATGCAAACAAAATATATTAATAAAAATATACATATAGAAATCATTAATCATAGTTGTATCTTTCACCTATATATATATATATATATAGTTCTGATATGATTTTTAGCTTTTGACCTTTATACGTGTTGAAAAATAAAAAAAATAAAGAAGGTGATTTGAGAATAAGAGAAACGAGTCATGGACCAAACCAGAATCTCAGGCCCAAATACACTCAAGCCTTGCTCGGAAGACGAATAAGAGTACGAATTATGATTATAGACCTCATGGTGAGTTTGCCAAAAAAAAAAAAAACCTCATGGTGATTGCTTGAATCAGATTAAATATGTAGGCGAATTCAAACTCAATCTGAAACTTAATTTTCATTAAAAAAAAAAAAACTATGTGAACCCACTGTATCCTTTACCTCACATTTTAAGCAATATTCGTCAATAATTTGGAATCAAAACTAATGTTTCCTTTGCCGTGTGATCCGTGATCTATACAGCTTTATATATGGATAATAATCCTCCAAAGCTTCACCGAAACTCTTCAGCGCAGCTAATATCAGCAACTTTGCATCTTGATCAAATTCAGGTTAAATACATAGATATATATGAAATTAAAACCTTTTGCTTGTCTTGATCGGAGCCAAGTGAAATAAATTTTTGGTGGTCAGGGACCATGATTGTAACGTAGAGATTGGTCTGAGAGTGGAGCTTTACGGTTTCCGGCGTCGTGGAGCTTGACGTGACCGGCTTTAATGGATTTGTTTAGGTTGAGTGATTGGTAAGGAGAAGGGAGATTGTTTCCTAATCTTTCCATAGTTGATCCCAATCCTGCTTGGAAGTGATAACTATGTTTTCTTGTTCCCAATTGCATAGCAACATGAACCTTTAAGAATAGAAAAAAAGACATGATTATGGTAAGTGAAAGTTTCTTTGAACATTCAAGTGTTAAGTGCAATGAGACTTACTTGAAAGGCCAAGGAGAGTGAAGTGTAACAGAGCAAAATAAGCCATTAATTGGAGAAAAATGTTGTTGAGAGGAGAGAGTGGTGAGTTGATTTTGAGACGAAGGAGAAGAGACTTGCTGCTGGGGTTATTTAGAAGGAGATGATGGGATTGTGATTAAGGATTAAAGATATCATCACTCATGCAAGAAAAGCTTGTGATCAAACTAATAATTGTTATTTGAACTCTCGTCTCTCGCAGTTCTTTTAATGTTTGTTTTTCTTTGGGTTTGTGTTTTTTTGGTTAACTATAAGGATTAGATAAAAGAAAACCGGTTGGTTGGCTGGTTCAAAGGAAACCAAGAACCCTTTGTCGATTAATTCACTCAAAATCTGCAGATGTAATGATAATTGTTTTTTAGAGTGTTGAATTTATTGCTAGTCAAAGGAAAATGGGTGTTTATTGACAACTGAATGATGTGCATTTTCCCAGTGTTTTGAGTTGGTATGTCGTTTACTTAACTCATAACATTAATTTCATACGCAACAGGTTCGTGTTATGCATAAAACTTGTACCACCCAATCACGAAAGACACAGCTGTAGCCATGTATATGGTGTGACCTGTATATGCCTCGGAGAAATGCTGAAATGCAGTTTCCACAGACGCAGAGTCATAGTCTATCATTTTCGGTGGCCTTTGTTCAAGCTTAGCAAGCATGTTCTCTTTCTTTTGCTCAGACCATTTCATGTAACCGAGGAATCGCCTCTGAAAGTTGTGATTGTTGTCGCACCTGCCTTTCATGAAGTTGTACAGTCCTCACGAGAAGCTTATACATTAATATTCTGTTGTTTAAAAATCATGCGGTAGATGTAAGCTCTCCTAACTTCCTCCCAATAATCTAGTCATTCCACACCCCAGTCATATAAATCTCAAATTTCGAATTGTATATAATCGACCATATAATAGTAGTAATACTAGATTACTACTAGTATTACCACTAATATTACTAGTATTACTACATAGTATTACTCGTATTACTACATAGTATTACTACATAGTATTACTACATAGTATTACTAGTATTACTACTAATATTACTAGTATTACTACATAGTATTACTAGTATTACTACATAGTATTACTAGTATTACTACATTACTACTAGTATTACTATATTACTACTAGTATTACTATTAATATTACTAGTATTACTACATAGTATTACTAGTATTACTATATTACTACTAGTATTACTACTAGTATTACTGCTATTACTATTATTATTACTAGTATTACTACTAGTATTACTACAAAGTATTACTAGTAATACTACATAGTATTACTAGTATTACTAATTTTACTACTAGTATTTCTAGTGTTACTAGTATTACCACTAGTATTACTACTAGTACTATCAGTACTACTAATACTATTACTAGTAGTAATGAAGTAATAGTATTACTACTAATATTACTAGCATTACTACATTACTACTAGTATTACTAGTATTTTTACTAATATTTTTACTAATATTAGTAGTATTATTACTAATATTACTACTAATACTACAAGTATTACTACTAGTACTACTAATATTATTACTAGTACTACTCGTACTACTAGTAGTACTGCTAGTATTAATACTAGTAATTATTAGTATTAGTACTAATACTACTACTACTAGTACTACTAGTACTACTACTATTACTGCTAGTACTACTACTAGTACGATTAGTATTACTAATAATACTAGTATTACTACTAATATTATTAATCGTATTACTACTAGTATTATTACTATTATTATTACTAATACTACAAATATTATTACTAATAGTATTACTAGTATTAGTACTAGTATTACTACATTACTACTAGTATTATTATGTAGTAATACTATGTAGTAATACTAGTAATACTAGTAGTAATACTAGTAGTAATGTAGAAATACTAGTATTACTATTAGTATTAATAGTATAACTACATTACTACTAGTATTACTATTAGTATTACTAGTATAACAACATAGTATTACTAGTATTACTACATAATATTACTAGTATTACTACATTACTACTAGTATAACTACATAGTATTACTAGTATTACTACATTATTACTAGTATTACTACATAATATTACTAGTAATACTATGTAGTTATACTAGTATTACTACATTACTACTAGTATTACTACTAGTATTACTACATAGTATTACTAGTATAACTACATAGTTTTACTAGTATTACTACATAGTATTACTAGTATTACTACTTTACTACTAGTATTACTATTAGTATTACTAGTATTACTACATAGTATTACTAGTATAACTACATAGTATTACTAGTATTACTACATTACTACTAGTATTACTACATATTATTACTAGTATAACTACATAGTATTACTAGTATTACTACATAGTATTACTAGTATTACTACATAGTATTACTAGTATTACTACATTACTACTAGTATTACTACTAGTATTACTACTAGTATTACTAGTATTATTACATAGTATTACTAGTATAACTACATAGTATTACTAGTATAACTACATAGTATTACTAGTATTACTACATTACTACTAGTATTACTACATTACTACTAGTATAACTACATAGTATTACTAGTATAACTACATAGTATTACTAGTATTACTAGTATAACTACATAGTATTCCTAATATTACTACATTATTACTAATATTACTACATAGTATTACTAGTATAACTACATAGTATTACTAGTATTACTACATTACTACTAGTATTACTACATAGTATTACTAGTATAACTACATAGTATTACTAGTATTACTAGTATAATTACATAATATTACTAGTATTACTACATTATTACTAGTATTACTACATAGTATTACTAGTATAACTACATAGTATTACTAGTATTACTACATTACTACTAGTATTACTACATAGTATTACTAGTATTGCTACATAGTATTACTAGTATTACTACACAGTATTACTAGTATAACTACATAGTATTACTAGTAGTACTACTTTACTACTAGTATTACTACACAGTATTACTAGTATAGCTACATAGTATTACTAGTATAACTACATTACTACTAGTATTACTACATAGTATTACTAGTATTACTACATAGTATTACTAGTATTACTACATAGTATTACTAGTATAATTACATAATATTACTAATATTACTACATTATTACTAGTATTACTACATAGTATTACTAGTATAACTACATAGTATTACTAGTATAATTACATAGTATTACTAGTATTACTACATATTATTACTAGTATAACTACATAGTATTACTAGTATTACTACAAAATATTACTAGTATAACTACATAGTATTACTAGTAGTACTACATTACTATACAGTATTACTAGTATAACTACATAGTATTACTAGTATTACTACATTTCTACCAGAATTACTACATATTATTACTAGTATAACTACATAGTATTACTAGTATTACTTCA